GGCCGTTTTGGGTTAATATTGGGGGCCTCGTGGGCCGTATTGAAACGGGAGAAGCGCGAACGTTCTTCCAAAACCTATGGAAATTCATTACATGTTGTCTCTTGGGATCCTCGTGGGAGAGAGTTTCAAGTCCTTTCGGGGCGTATTGGAGGCGTCTTGGGCCGTCTGGGGGCCATCTTGAGCGGCCTCGAGCGATCTTTCGGCGACTCTGGGCTGCCTTGGGCTCCGTATGGGACTGAACAGCCGAGGGCGCCCCCCAACAGGGAAAGGGGGGGAAGCGCATTCTGACCCAGGACACCCCCCGCAGTGGGGCAGGGATCAGAGGGAGAAACTTCTCCTCGATCTACAGTCGGGGCCCTGAAGAAGGACCCCTTTTGGTTGGGGATGGGCTCCGTGTTCCTTAAGTGTTTCGCAGCTTGCCTTGGGTGTTCCATATGTCTTCGATCGGAATCCGAAGCTTAACTTATGGAAAAAGGGGCCTCGTTCCTTATTCAGGGTTCCTTAGGTCAAGGCCCCGACGGTAATCACGACTGCGACTGCGACCCAGCTCGAGCACGTTTCAGTCGAGAAGGTTTACACCTTAGGCGATGCTTAAGAAAACTTAACTTTTCGACCAAAGTCTCGATTCTTCTTAATGTTTCAATGTAAATCCTAAGATTTGAATATTAATTCAAGTTCTGAGACCATGAATTTCTTAACCCATGATTTCTTAAGCATTTCGCAGGGTGTACGGCTCTGGCGCGCCACAGAGGGTCTCGGGAGCTGCTCCGGGGCTGTCGCCGTGCTCTTGTTCGGTGTTTTGCCCCTCGGCGTGGGCCATCGCACCCCCCCCCCCCTCCTCCTCCCTCCTCCTCTTCCTCCCTCCTCCCTCCTCCTCCTCCTCCTCCCCCTCCTCCTCCTCGGCCCCCTCAGCTCGAGCCTCATCGTGCACAGCAGCCCCCTTGTTGGCCCAAGACGCTGAAAGACAGGGACCCCTCCCCTCCTGGAGTACAGTCGGGGCGTCGACCTAAGGAACCCTAAATAAGGAACGAGGCCCCTTTTGTTCCATAAGTTAAACTTCTTATGTCCCATCGAAAACATGAGAAAACCCTGAGGCAAGCTGTGAAACACTTAAGGAACACGGAGCCCCTTCCAAAACGGAAAGCGTTCCTTCTTCAAGGCCCCGACGGTAGATCTTGGCTGTTTTGGGTGGCTGTTTCGAGCAGGCGGAGTCTCTCCATCGCAGGACCCGCTGCTGCAAGCAGCCGCACTACGCAGCGGTCTGGAGCCAGACCCCCCCCTCTCCCCCCTTCCGCTCAATGTCGAAACGCCGAGTAAAAAACAACGCAGGAATGGAATGGAAGAGGAGATCGGATGAAAGATCATCTTTGTAGAGGGGGCGTCGGGCCCAGAACTTCCCTCACACGCGCCGACATGGTCGGTAGATTTAGAGCTTTCGGGGGCCTCCCGGAGGCTCCAGAGAGGAGGCGGGGGGGGAGGAGGAGCAGCAGCAGCAGCAGCAGTAGCAGCAACAGCAAACATAGAAATCAGGTGTAGGAGATGGCGAGGACGAGACGGACGGGGGAGGAAGGAGGGAATAGAAGGGGGGAGGAAGAGAGCAAGGTTGAGAACGAGAATGCGTACGAAGACCACGGTGGGGAGGAGGAGGAGGAGGAGGAGGAGGAGGAGGAGAAGGAGAAGGCTGAGGAGGAGGAGGAGGAGGAGGAGAAGGAGCAGCAGCAGGAGAAGGAGGAGAGGAAAGACGACGACAAGAAGGCGTCGGGGGTAAGAGCAGCAGGGGGCGGGGAGGGAGGAGGATGGGGATAATGCGATGAGAAGGAATAGGAGGAGGAGGAGGAGGAGGAGGAAGGCGAGGAGGAGGAGGAGGAGGAGGAGGGCGAGGACGTGGACGATGACGTGGGGGCGCTTGGACTTGGCCGTTCGCGGCCCCCTACGGCCGCGCCCGAAAGGCCCACGGCACTCTGGTCCACGGCCGACCCTCCCAGGGAGATCGGGTCGGACGAGAGGGAGGGGATGGGGAAAGGAGGTGGTTCGAAATCTGCTGCATGCGCAGCCTGTCTCGGCTCCGCCTAGACTCAGAAGCCAGGCGAAGGCTGGCAAACCCGTGGCTGCTCAAACGGAGTTCCGGGAAATGCATGTTCTTCTGGGAAGCAGCCCGATTACTATTTAGTGCTCTGAGGGTTTTTTCTGGATTTGCTGTTATCTGGGAAGACTCTTTTAACAGCCACGGATTTGCAAGCCCTCGCCCAGCTTCCGGTAGACGTGCACTTCGATACGACGGCGCCTCCGAGGCCAGGAGGAGCCCCCTGGCTATCTACTCCGTCGCTATCCCCCCGCTCCTCGTATCCAGGTCGGAGAACTTGTTTGCGTCTGAGGCTTGCAACGGCATGTCGGTCCACCGCCAACCCTCCCCGGGAGATCGGGCGGGGCTGTAGGATGGGGAGGAATGTTTTAAATGAGTTCTGGAGCGCTGTCAGAGCGTTCTGGAGCGCGCTCTCGGACGGCCGCGGCGCCAGCTACATCTTCTAGAACCACAGGATCTCAGAGATCCCCGAGTTGTCCCGGTCCGATCTTGTCCTGGTCCTGGCTTCATCTTAGTTGTCCCGAACCGATTCGATTTGGACCCCGAGCCGATGAGGCTCGATCCGACGCGCGTTCCGATTCGGTCCGAAGTCCCGATCCGATGCCGATCTGATATGTAATCGGTGGATCCAGTTTCTTTTGTCTCTTCGAGCTTGGACTGGCTCAGGCACATGGGTCTAGGCCTGCCTGATGGAGTCCGAGTAGATGGGGTCAGAGGATCGCGCTGCATCGCCGATGCATCGGCGATGCGGCTCGAAGTGGAGCCCGATTTTCGCAACGCCGACGGTGGCGGTGCATCGCCGACGTCGCCGATGTATCGGCGATGCGGCGCCATCCTCCGACCCCATCATATTCGGACCCCATCTGGAAAGCCTCTCGTAGATCTCGAGCACGATCATGGCTTCGTCCCCAGACCCCCGACGTTGTGATTTTGTTCATGACGTCGACCCCCAGAGGTCTCGACCCATTCCCCGGCACTGGATTCTACCCCGAGCCGTTTTTTGAGGGTCTGGAGGCCTGGTAAGGGCCCCCAGAGGCCAAACATACACAGAAAACGAACAAGTCCATGGAATAGATCTTGGCTGTGTCTTGGTGCCTGTTTGAAGCAGGTGGAGCCCCTCCCCCACAGGACGCAGTGTCACAAACAGTAGCATTAAGCAGAGGTCTGGAGCCAGACCCCCCCCCCTCCCCCTCCTTTGTCGGGTATGGCCAGGACCCCAGGTAAGGGGACCCGGTTAGTGGTAGGGCCCTGGAGCCTTCGAATTGGCCAGAATCACTAAACCAGGTTTGCCATAGCTGGTGTTTTTTTGGGTGACGGCAGTTCCGGTTAGTGGAAATGGGACGGGGGGGGGCGCCCCAAGTACAGATCGTTAAACCAGGTTCCACTAAACCCAGTTCTGCAAATGTCGAAATTTGGCCCAGTGCGTCGAAACGCCGAATAACAAAAAAACGCTCACTTTGTTCACGACGCGCGGCCGGCGAAGGGTGCGTGCGGGCGGCGCTGGCATGGCGAGGGCGGCGCGGAGTGCGCCCCCATGACACAGGTGGGATGCCAGTGCGCCGGGCTGTTCCCGAGGGAGGGGCTCGAGGGAGGGATTAAGTCGGGCCTGTCCCCCTACAGGGGGATTTTCGACAAAAAATAAAAAAATACCCCAAACACATTCCAAAACTCGTCCAGAAATAGTCTGGGGATTATTTTTGAGTGTTTTTTTTACCCTTTGGGGGCATTTCTATGGTATTTTTTTATTTTTCGTCGAAAATCCCCCTGTAGGGGGACACGCCCGACAGAAGGGAGGGAGGGAGGGGAGAGAGAGGGGGAGGCAGGAGGGGAGGAGGAGAGGAGGAGGCGTCGGGGCGTTGTCGGGCTGCTCGCCCTTGACGCCCTTGTCGCTCTCGTGATGTTTGGTCATGACTCGAGGAGCGTGTTTCTTCATTGCTTGTGGCAGAATGGGCATCATAGCCCTCGACCCCCCCTTTAACCTAACGCCCCTCCCCCCCCGGTGCGCTCCGGGCACTGCCGCCGTGCGTATCGGGCACACGGCGGGGGGGAGGCGTTACATTTTTTCCCCCACCCGGACCCTCCCCCCCCACCCTACATTGCCGATTTGCTTCACGCCTGCGTCGCCGATGCACCGCCGGCGTCGACGATGCATCGCTGGTGCATCGCCGATGCATCGCCGATGCATCACCGATGCACCGCCGATGTATCGGCGATGCGGCGCGATCCTCCGACCCCATCTACAGTCGGGGCCCTGAAGAAGGAACCCTTTTCGTTGGGGAGGGGCTCCGTGTTCCTTGATTGTTTCAAAGTTGGCCTCGGGTTTTCCTGGTCTTTCCATACGAAATCGAGGCTGAACTTATGGGAAAAAGGGGCCTCGTTCCTTATCTAGGGTTCCTCAGTTCAACGCCCCGACTGTACTCCGACCCCATCTAAGAGGTTTCTATTATCGCCGAAAGTGCAGACACGCGCTCGATGACGAACCAACAACACACACATACCCATAAGGGGGTCGGAGAGGGCCATGGGTGCGTGTTGTCGGATGGGGGGCCCCGCTCGAACGGGAGCGTTCCCCAGGGTCCGACAACCCGCACCCATACCCATAGCCAGTCCTCCTCTATACGAACCCCCCTATGGGTATAGGTGTGTGTGTTGTTCGCTCGTCATTGCACCCGTTCTTGCCGTGCCTGGTTCAAAATGAACAGAGGAGGAGGCGGAGGAGGAGGAGGAGGAGGAGAATGATGGATGATGATGAGGAGGAGGAGGAGGAGGAGGAGGAGGGAGGAGGAGGAGGAGGAGGAGGGAGGAGGAGAGATGGAGTGAGGAAGGAGGAGGAGGGAGGAGGAGGTTGTTCGTTCGTCGCTCGATGGGGCCCCGGCTGCGTCTGCCGCCGCGCCCTGGCGCGGGCGCGGGCCGCCAGGAGCGGCCGCCCCCGACGGACGAGGAGCAGCTGCTCGCGGCCGCGCTCGGCGTGCCCGCCGCGCTGCCCGGG